AATTTTTCAAGTACTACCGAAATTTGGGGTTGTCAAAAGTTGCCATCGGTTTTTCAGAGAGTGCCGGCCAAACCAATTCCCCCGTCACGGTTCACTGGGTTTTGCCGTCCGGAAAACGGGGCAAAAACTGGGGGGCAAGAAAAAGGGAAACGATCCACGGGGGAAACGTCTGCCAGTCCGTTTCTTTCCGCGTTACGGTTATCAGATTTGCGAATTTTTGAGTCTGGTTGAGGTGGAGAGGGCTGAATTTGAGGGCAAGCCAGCATAGATCGTTTTGGAATTCCGGGGAATTGTAGCAAAAATAGTTTTAGAGGCCCTAGGCAGCTGGCAGAGATTTTTAGGGAATTTCAGAGCAACTCAGGAAATATCAAATTCAACATAGTAGTAGATAGAATTGTTATTCTTAGGGAAGGGCCGGCTAGCAGAGATTCCTTAGGAAGGGGCAGCCTAGCAGGGATTCTTTAAAAATGGGGAGGCTAGCAGAGAGTCTTTAGGAAACGATCGGCTTCCCGGTCACCGCAGATCATTTTTTGCCGTTTTCTGATGTTTGAGCGGTTAGGGCTCAGGACCAAAAAAACGTTCCTGACCATCCGGAAAAGGCCAGAAAAGCGTCAGGAGGAAAAAACGGAAAAGTCTAGGTGGAAAAGGAGAAATCTAGGAGGTGTTAACGTGAGAGTAGGTGTTTCCCCGGGTGCTAGTTGGGTGAGACAGTCTATTGTTTGGCTATTTGCCAAGTTGGGCGGCTGGGGTGGGACGCTAAGAAATGGGGGAGGCCTAGAATGGAGGGGCCAAAGGGCAAATTGTGCACACCGTTTCTTTACAGGAAAACCGGTAGTCTTTGATCACTCAATGGCAACTTTTTAAAGGTGTAATGACACCAAAAGCAAGGAGATTTTCCTCAAAAATCTCTGCAAGCCTGCCCCTGTCCTAAAGAATGCCTGCTAGCCTGCCTTTTCCTAAAGAATCTCTGCCAGCCTGCCCTTTCCTAAAGAATCTCTGCTAGCCTGCCTTTTCCTAAAGAATCTCTGCTAGCCTGCCTTTTCCTAAAGAATCTCTGCTAGCCTGCCTTTTCCTAAAGAATCTCTGCTAGCCTGCCTTTTCCTAAAGAATCTCTGTTAGCCTGTTTTTCCTTTTCCTAAAGAATCTCTGCTAGCCTGCCCTTCCTAAAGAATCTCTGCTAGCCTGCCTCTTCCTAAAGAATCTCTGCTAGCCTGCCCTTTCCTAAAGAATCTCTGCTAGCCTGCCTTTTCCTAAAGAATCTCTGCTAGCCTGCCCTTTCCTAAAGAATTTCTGCTAGCCTGCCCTTTCCTAAAGAATCTCTGCTAGCCTGCCCTTTCCTAAAGAATCTCTGCTAGCCTGCCCTTTCCTAAAGAATCTCTGCTAGCCTGCCCTTTCCTAAAGAATCTCTGCTAGCCTGCCCTTCCCTAAAGAATCTCTGCTAGCCTGCCCTTTCCTAAAGAATCTCTGCTAGCCTGCCCTTTCCTAAAGAATCTCTGCTAGCCTGCCCTTTCCTAAAGAATCTCTGCTAGCCTGCCCTTTCCTAAAGAATCTCTGCTAGCCTGCCCTTTCCTAAAGAATCTCCTGCTAGCCTGCCCTTTCCTAAAGAATCTCTGCTAGCCTGCCCTTTCCTAAAGAATCTCTGCTAGCCTGCCCTTTCCTAAAGAATCTCTGCTAGCCTGCCCTTTCCTAAAGAATCTCTGCTAGCCTGCTCTTTCCTAAAGAATCTCTGCTAGCCTGCCCTTTCCTAAAGAATCTCTGCTAGCCTGCCCTTTCCTAAAGAATCTCTGCTAGCCTGCCCTTTCCTAAAGAATCTCTGCTGGGCTCCCCATTTCCAAAAGAATCTCTGCTAGCCTGCCCTTTGCTAAAAAATCTCTGCTAGTTGTTACAGTCTTTTCGTCGTTCGTCGATTTTTTCAAGAATCTCTGCTAGCTAGCCCTCTCTTTGGTTTTCAAAGATCTTTACCTTCAAGCTAAACCCCCGGACAAGTTTTCACGATTGTTCAAGTGCCCCTTTTTCCAAGCGGCACCCCCGGCCGGGAGTAGTGTTAAAAAAGGCTGGTCGGTAAGTACAAACGGCTTTTCCCACCCAGTAGATATTTGACATCGCAGTTCACACGCCCGACGAGAGAAAAAGAAAGAGAGCGAGAGAGAGAGCGAGAGCGAGAGAGAGAGAAAACCTCAAACTACTCGGCGGTTATCTTTAGGATCCTTGGGGAGCTTTGGGTGATCAGCGACTCACATCGGGAACATCCAGGCAAAACTAGGGCATTTTGAGAACCAGGGTTACTGTAGTTCCAAAGGCACCGTGAAGTCTAGATTTCCAGCAAAGAATTTCCGCAAGAATCCCTGCTAGGCAGCTTTTTAGAGCCTGCGCCTCTATGCCAATCGAAATTTGCCCCCCTGGAATATAAAAACGCTTTCTCTTGGTAATTTTGGAGCCAGATTACGGTAGGTTGGAAGGGCCCGGAAAGACCAAATTTTATCTTCAGCATTTCCTCAAGAAACCCTGCTAGTTTGTTAGCTTTTTAGAGCCTGAACCTCCATGAGAATCGAAATTTCAGCCCCTCAAATAAATCAGGCTTTTTCTTGGCGATTTATTTTAATTTTAAAGGGACCGGGAAGTCAGTGTGTCTAAACCACCATTTCCGCAAAAATCCGTGCAAGAGGGCCCCTTTTCGGGTCTGATCTGCTCTACTAAAAATCTACGCGTGAGCTCCGCAAATAAATATCTTCTTGCTTGGGGCGTTCGGGATCGTATTGTCACGGAACGGGCGTCTGCCATAAAATGGGCTGCGGGACTCCGATTTCCGGGGCTAGCAGCGATTTTTGTGGACTCAGGCATAAGGGGTCGTTTGGGAATTCGGCGTAGGAGGCTAGCAAAGATTCTTTAGGAACAGCGAAATTTCGTATGAGAAAAACCGATTACCCCATGAAATTACGCTGCCCAATCTACGTCAACGAAAAATCCAATAACAAAATTACCCCTAGGAAAATACTCACTGTTTCGCTTCATTCCCATCTCAACGCTTCGGCAGGCTAGCAGAGATTCTTGAGGAAGATGCCGGGCTTTTTGGCCTTGGCTTCAACATCACCACAGATCGACGGAAACCTAAATTAATTAAAATTACTAAAAATGACGCAGCACCGACCTTTTTATCGATAAAGCTTTGTCCGTTGAAGCGGGCCGGCTAGCAGAGATTCTTGAGGAAGTGGCGCGCATCTGGAATTAAAAATTTTGAAAAAACAGGCAAAAATCTAGGATTTGAGAAATAAGGAAAAGAGCCGAATGATACAAGAAATCTTAAACTACTTAAAAACCACAAAAATGCCTAAAAAAGCCAGAAAAATGGGTTTTTTCGTGGTTCTAGATCGTGGAATATTTGGCATAACTTGTTCTCGATTGATTCTGATAATTAGAAGGTAGCCAAAACGTATTTTATTACCCTAAAAGTATTAAAACAGTTAGCAAAACAAGTTTATTTGTTTTTTCACGCTTTTCTGGGTGGGCGGGTATGAATACCTAGCGTAACCGAATCCCCGTCGCAAGAAGGCCCAACTAACCGTTCTCCGCCAAAATAAGCCCAATTTCGATTTTTTAAAAAGTAAATATGGGTAAAAATTATCAAGGATTCCGAAAATAAGATCAGAATTTGAAAATTTAAATGTTTTAACCTTCAAAACGAGCAAAAAAGCTGTAGGTACGGAAATCCAGGGCTGCTGGCTCTGTCGCTGGGCAGTGTGGTTTGGACTGAAACGTAGGGAACTCCGCGGGCTGGAGCGTTTCCTAAAGAATCTCGACCAGCCTGCCCTGTAAAAAGTGTATAGAAAAAGGCAGCTATCATTAATAGTATATTTCCGCTTTTTGCTGGAGTTTTTAGGACAGTCTTAGGTCCATTTTCGATAGTTTCTAGCCAAATTAAGGAAATTTAATATTTTTTTTATAGCCTTTCTACCTTCGTTTTAGGTTCTAATCCTTTCTAAGCACTAATTAAAGCGCTTTTCTTTGTTTCCAGCTTTCCTTGAGCTGTTTTGGCACTTTTTAGGCAAAATTTCGATAGATTAGCGCTAAACAAAGAAATTTTAAGCTTTTTTAGCGCGTTTTTCTCTTATTTCTAACGTCTAGATCTTTAAAACCATCAATTATATCCTTATCGCCGTTCTCCATACTTTTTCAGACATTTTTCACGCCCAAATCAGAACTTTCGATCCCTCCGGCTCACCGGTAGACGTTCAAAGTTCTCGGTTCTTTTTTCGTGCTCGATCTGCCTCTCATTCTTGCTCTCCCTTTCTCTCGCTCTGATGTTTGAGGTGTGCCGAAATGTGTGAACACGACTTTTCGGGCGCTCTCTTCGTCGTTTTTTCCTCAAATAAAGCGACGAGTGCCCAAGGCAGCGACGGGGGACACCTTTTAGCAAATATACGGCCACAGACGGCTGCCGATTGGCACCTAACTTCCAATACATCGGTAGTTTGACACAAGGGTTATTTTTGGCATAAAAAGTGGCACTTGACCGCGAGTTTTCACACTTTTTGCAGGCGGGGCCCTAAGAATAGGGCCCAGTCTGCGTGGGGAAAACCCTGGAAAACGCCAAAAATCACTGGGAAAAAGTTTGGAACGTCAGGGAAACTAGCAGAGATTACTTAGGAAACGGGACGCCAAGCAAAAGTGGCATTTTTCCTTAAATTTTTACCAGGTTTTAATCCCCCCCCCGTTAATGAATCAGCACCGAGAAAGGCAGGCTAGCAGGAATCATTGCGGAAATGACAAACCAACACAGAAAATTGAGGAAAAATTCAAACGAAAATTTATTCACCGCAACCCAATTTTACAGGAAAATACAGAAAAATAGGAGGGAAAACACGTTTTCAGGCGGAAAGACACGGAACGTTTTTTGGTCGGTATATACAGAGATACAAGGGGGTAAATTGTGGAATTGTCAGTAGGAGCGGCGCGGAAAAAATGTAGACATTAGAGAGAGTTAGAGGCAGTGAGCAAAATTATCCATTGCAGGTGCGGCGGCTGGGCTTGGAGCACGTGTCGTGGCACTAAAAAAAAAGAAAAATTTGGGTTTTAAGACAAAAAAATCGAAACAAAGTATTTTTCTCTGCGCTCTCGCCCTCTCTCTCTCTCTCCCTCTCTCGCTCTCTTTCTCTCGCCTCACCTTAGCAATTGAAGATGCATAATAGCAGGCCCGGCAGAGAGCTTGATACGTGTCGGAGCCGCCGATGACTTCGACCTGGAAAAAACAGATTTCTCTCTCACGCTCTCTCTCTCCCTCTATCTCTCTCTATCTCTCCCTCTATCTCTCTCTCTCTCTCTCTCTCTCTCTCTCTCTCTATCTTTCCCCTCTCTTTCTCTCACCTGTGTTTCTTTGGTGTTCCTGAATGTGTAGGATGCATCCGTGCCACAGCGCATGCAAACAGCCGAAAGATTCCTCACGTCGTTGGAGAACGAGATCAGCTTGGACACCTCGGCGAACGGCTAGAAATTGTTGTAAATTGAAGTTCCATAGCTGTCGCGCTCCCTTTAAAGGCCCGTAGGATGTAAAAAAACAAGTCTAATGGTTATCCGAAAATGCTAAAATCCCTAGAAAAACCCAAAAATTGCAAAAATAATTTTCTAGTGAATTTATCGCGCGATTTATTGCTGCTAAGCTCTCTCTAAAGGGACTTGGAAGCCAAAAACCCATCTCACAAAAGCTCAAAAAGCTAGCTGTCTCACGCCCTGTAAAATAAAAAAATGCAGATTGCTATTTTTCCACCGCGTTTTCCAACGATATATATAGCTGTCTCGCTCCATTTAAAGGAATTGGGAAGGCAAAAAAACTATCACAAAATTTCTTCCGGAGTTGTAAAGGGAGAAAATCCAAATTTCAACACCATTTCCGAAAATTTCTCGCTGTCGCGTTCCCTTTAAAGTAAAGTTAAACCCTTAAAAACCGATACCCGTCTCATGAAATCTCCGTTGAGGGCGGCGACGATCACAATCTTCCCATCAGCAGCAAGCTGTTCACAGGTAGAGGCCAGGTCGTCGTACTGCAAAAAAATAAAACATTGGAAATTAAAATAGGAAGAGTGTACCAAAAGAGCACAAAAAAAAGCAAAAACCGTACGAATTGCCCCTCATCAATCGCCACAACCTCGACGTCTTCGTCAAAGAGCGTCTCGCGGACGTCGGCCAGTCGATGAGCAACTACCGTGCATCCCAGGGCTTTTTGCCTGAAAAAGGACAGTTTTTGCAGAGTTTGATCGGAAATTCCGCAAGAATCACTGCTAGCCTGCCCTTTCCCAAAGAATCTCTGCTAGCCTGCTCTTTCCCAAAGAATCTCTGCTAGCCCGCCCTTCCTAAAGAACCGCTGCTGGCTCGCCCGAAAAAAACGTACTGTTGATGGGTCGTAATGTGGTGTGCATCGTATCGCATATCCCCATCGTATTTCACCAGCACACATTTCTTCTTGGCAATCTTGTAACGGTCGTGGATTCGGATGAGCTCGGTCCTAAAACATGGACCTTACCGTATGCTAAAGTACGCTATCGTACAAGATAGTACGCAAGGCTACACTTCCCCAAAAAAAACCACCAGGCCTTTGAAAAAATCTCAAAGTACGCGAGACTACGCTTTTAACGTTACGTTGTTAAAAGAAGGGTAAAGCGCGCCGACGATATAGTACGTTACCGTACGCAAGAGTACGCTACACTCCGCTATTCCCTATATATCACGATCCCTTTAAAAGCCAAAAACTCACGTTTTCCCGCTGAACATCGGCCCAATGATGCAGACAATGTATCCCTGATTGGGCAGCTGGCAGAATTGGTCAAGGTAGGGGCGCATCCTGAAAACTGGAATTTTTTCACCGGCAAATTCACATAGCCAGAAACCGTTCAAAGGCGTTCAACGTCTTTGGCTAAATTTTGCGCCATTGAAAAAATAGAATGCGAATAATGGAACCTTAAAAACGGGAAAAACTTATTAAAACGGGGTTAAGAAATGAAAGACTACGACATCAAGTCTTTGCACCAAAAAAACACGAAGAACCGTGAAAAAACAGAGAGAGAGAGAGAGAGAGAGAGCGAGAGAGAGAGAGAGAGAGAGAGAGAGAGAGAGAGAGAGAGAGATAGACAAACAGACAGACAGAGGCAGAATTATAGCCAAGGAGCGAAATGATTAAAGCTATTTGTTTAAATTCTATAAAAAGCTTGCAAACCTGCTTCTCCGGGCCATTATAGTAATTTAGGTATAATAAAAATAGAGAATTGGCTCAGCGGCTGATCGGTTCACTTTTGAGCGGTGGAACACCCGACAATGGGGATCGAAAATACAGAGGAGTGGGAGCAAGGACGGGGAGTTTTTCTGGACGGGGAGGGGGAGAAGCTTTTAGTCGATCGAGCCCCCGTGGGCATTTGATTTGGATCTGGACGGCGAGATTTGGATCTCGTGCTAGCCGGGAAATAGAGGAGCATCAGCTGTTTTCGGGATCTGGCGGCGGATTTGGGTTTTTGGAGGGGAGCCAGAAGCAAGAGAAATTTTGAGAGAGCGAGAGAGAGAGAGAGAGAGAGAGAGAGAGAGAGAGAGAGCAAGCTAGCGGTGATTCTCTCGGAAACGGTATGCTTGCAGAGATTGTTTAAACGGAACTTTTCTCTCCTTTAAGCTCCGATAAAGCGAAAACTACAGCCCGAGGCCACGTTGCGGAGAAAATGTCGGAATGGGGGATCACGATCCCCAGCGCGGACTTGTCGAAATCCAAAAAAGGGAATATGGACGGATCGGGACGAATAGGAAGGGGGAGAGAGAGAGAGAGAGAGAGAGAGAGAGAGAGAGAGAGAGAGAGAGGAGAGAGGAGAGAGAGAAACAGAGAGAACGAGACACACCAAATGCCACGCCTACAGGCATCAAGTTGAGCAGGACTTTCACTCTGCAGAACGCCACTAAAGGCTGAAAAACAGTGGGAACTTGATGAAGTTCTTTTGATCCCTATTTCCTAAAAATTTTTGCTAGCATGCGCGGCTCAAACCGAGCGGATTTTTGACAAGTAACCCCCGAAAATGAGTAATCCTAAAGGATTTCTGCTAGCTTGCTGGCACTCGAGCTCAAATACGCTATCCTCGAGTCCCAAAGAATCTCTACTAGATTGCCCTACAGCTCTGTCAACACTCAAAACCATATGTTCAAGATCGAAGCCGTAATAGTGCGGAAAGAAAATCGAAGTGTACAGAGGTGTCTAGCGTACCTTCACCTCCCCGTCTCCGATGGCAGACCATCGTCACGGAGGGTTGCGGGTGGAAAACTGAACTCGCAAAGTCGTGCTCCGCGTGGCTTTCGCGTTGGCACCCGAGGTGCATTTGGGAGATAGGGGGGATAGACGATCAAAAGAGAGAGAGAGAGAGAGAGAGAGAGAGAGAGAGAGAGAGAGAGAGCGAAACCGATAGACCTCCTTGATCCCTAAATCTAAAGAGTAAAGGGATCGTGTCTATGGAAATTCGGGGTAATCTAGCAGAGACCCTTGACGAAATTCTAATCGCCTTGAAAACCCAGGGCCAGCTAGCAGCGAGCTTTTAGGAAATACGACGAGGAAACCAACTAATAAGTATAAAAATAGCCAAAAACTCCATAGGATGCTAGCAGAGGCAATGGAGGAATCGCTGACCTCGAGAGCCCAACGGTATACCAAACAAGGGCCAAGCTGCCCCATTAAAAACCGCCACAGTACCTCCAGCTGCGTGTAGCGCAATTTAGGGCACATCGATGCGCAATTCTTGGCCATCTGCCAGCACAGACTGTTGCATAACACGATAATTAGGGAAGACAATGGGGTAATTCAGTCGAGGGCGATTGCTAAAGAATCTCTGCTAGTCTGCCCTTTCCCCAAGAATCGCTGCTTGCCTGTCCTTTCATAAGGAATGTTAGCTAGTATCCCACAAAAACCGCGATATAAGCTAAAAAATACCTCAATTCAAGCTTCAGATCTATTGTCAACTCATATCTGTTGAACTCGATCGTCTTGATGGCATTCCATACTTGTCGAACTTGTCGAACAGCTACCGTAGCGCGCAGAAATTTCTTAAGAGACATCTACAAGCCTGCGCGAAAATTCCCAAATCATCTCTGCAAGATTGCCAGGCGCAAAAAACCCAAAAATCCATCGAGGTGTAAGAAAATGAATACCATTTATTGCAGCGAGCACGGAAAACGACCCAAAAAGTGCAAATATCAGCAAAAAAAAATAAAATTAATTCAAATGGCATTTTAATTATAAAGTAAATACAGTAGGCATTTTAGGAGTGAAGTGGAGCGTAGCGGAATGGCATGGGAATACAGTTAAAAGAGAAAAATAAATTACAGTAACACAAAAATCGAAAAACGACATTTAGCGGGGCTACGGTTTCGAGAGGAATTCCTCGAGCATCACCTCTTCTTGCTGTGCGCGTACCGTATCCGAGGCTTGGACGGCTGGGGCTAAAAAAGAAATAAAATTATTAAAAGCAAAAAAGATTTTCCAAAAATTACGGTAATTTGCGGAAATTCCTTGAGAAACCAAAATATAGAAAAAGGCCGGGGAGATAGCGGGTGGATTTGGGAAAATAAAGAAAATTAAAGGGGCCGGAAAGGCAAAAATCAACATGTTTTCGCCATTTTTGACTTCTCCGGTTCCTTTAAAACGAAAAATCGGTGGATAGCATTTTCGGGCGAGCACGACTTACTGTAGGGGAAAGGAGTACGGTAGTGGGAAAGCTCTGAAATTTGCAACTTTGAAGGAAAAAGGCCCCAAACCCTCAATTTACATTTTAAAGGGAGCGCGACATAAAATTTCGGCAGAGTATAGCAGAATTAGCACCAAAATTCATTTACAGTTCTCAGCGTGAATTTCGCACGTTTTCAGGTAAAGATGGTTTAAAAAAGCAAGATTAATTTTTTTAAGATAAACTCTATCTTAAAGGGAGCGTGACAGTAGCGTGAATTAAATTCAGCCGCTAAAAATAAATTCAAAACATAAACTAACATGGAAAGACACTGGGCGGCGGTGTGGCAGGAGGGGCCAAGCTGGAGATGACTGGGCTCGATCCTGGATGAGTTCCACCTAAATGAGAATGAAAGTTGCAACTTCTTCAAGAATCTCTCCCAGTCTACACGAATTCCCTAAGAATCCCTGCTAGCTTGCCCTTTCCTAAAGAATCCCTGCTAGCTTGCTCAGCCCAAAGAAACACCGTTCGTCTGCCCTGGTTTGAATGAATTTCCAACTCTAAACAACTTCTCTTAAAGAATCCCTGCTAGCCTGACCTAAGCTCCCAAATACTCTCTGCTAGCCTACCAACCTCGGATTCAGCCGTCGCGACCATACACAGTCCATCCAAGTGGGTGATCGCCTGCTCGGTCTGATCGCAAAATCGTTGTAGTTTGTCGACCTGGAAAAATCAATAAAAATCGATACAAATAAATAATTAATAAATCAAAAAACTAATTAATAAATCGATACTTGTTTATTAATATCCCGTATCCGCTTGTCGACTTCTTGAATCGATCGAAGGAATGTGTCGATTGTTAGCACGGCATCGGCTCGTTCCTGAAATAGAATCATCGGTTCGGGGGCGAACGTTTTTGGTAGGTCCAGAAATTTCTAGTAACCTAATAGTAAGTGTTTTTAAGAAGATAATTATATTTCAACTAGAAAAAATATCCAAAAAAAAGTGTGAAAGTAGAAATTTTGGGCAACAAGCGACCAATTTCCGTAGGTAAATCGATATTTTTGACATTTTCAATAAACTTTGTATCGTTTTCACGTTCTGGATTAGTACAAAAACAGCTCAGAAACACTTCCCATATCTCTATTTGAAAAATTGGATCCTAAGGAAAAAGCTTGTTCCCTCCCCCGATAATGTAAAAGAACCGAAACATCGCTAAACCTAGGTATAGATACGCTTTTAAAGGACCACTGAAGGCAAAACAAGTTTACCCGACACATTTGCTGGGCTCTTCCCAGGCGTGTTGACGTTAGATTGGCCAATCGGACGCCCTCCTCGGCCACACATCTCATCTGATCCAGCTGTGTTTGGTATCTGAAAAAAAACAGGTTTGAAATAACCATCGATGTCGTAACATTTTATTTCTTAACTGCCATTTCTCTTTAAAACAAGTTTCGATCCGATTTCATGTCGTAATCGTAGAGAACTGGCCTTTTCCTTTCAATTCCCCTTAACGTTATCCGCGGCTCGACTTTTCCTCTCGTAATCAGTTGACGATCTGTAGTTTTGCCCGGCCAGCCCTTTCAAATCGATTTTATAGACTTCCAAGTCGCTTTAAACACGATTCCGAGCTGATTTTCACGCCGTAACCGGCCATCCATGAAATTTTTCTGCAGCTCAATACCGTTAAAATTGTTCTATGTCCTCCATGTCCCGTTTTTTGCTAAAACTGGTCCGGTATCGAGCGGTTTGTCATCTCATTCTACCCGGATCCGGAATTTCTAGAAGCGCCTCTACTAGGGGTTGTAAACTCTCGAGCAGGGGCATAATTTACAGTCACCCGTTTACAGTCATTTTCCGGGCTATTCCGGACATAATTTGACACGTGTGGTCTCTCTGTCTGTCTGTCTCTCTCGCTCTCTCTCGCTCTGCCTCCCTGTTTCACAACACAGGAGATGATCAGCCGGGCGCCTTCAGCCTCAGACTGATAAGCCCCCTGGGCAAAGCTTATAAAGCCTGATCAGACGGGCCAACAAGTCAGGAGTCCAAAAACAATGGGGGGCGCCTTCTTATCTCTAACCCGTCATTCTCAAGCCCTTTCGTCCATTTAAACTTTTAAACGGGCCAACAACCCTAAAAATCTTTGTTAGACTGCACACTTCCTCAAGAATTCCTGCTCGTTTCCCCACTTTCCCAAATAATCCGTGCTAGCTTGCTCTTTCCTCGCCAAATTTTCGTTTAGAAATTGAAATGAAGCTCCTCCTACTCGTCGCTGCCTTCTTTGCCGTCTCCCTCGCCGTGGCATTGCCCGAGCAGCCGAAAGAGAGAGGGGTAAGCTGGCAGGGATTCTTTAGGATGGTCTTTGAGTGACCTTTGATTCTTTAGGCAGAGACAGCAGAGATTATTGAGGAATTTAGATTACGAAAAATGTAAGTAGAACTGGAGGCTAACTAGCATAGTGTACCAGGAAGTAGTCAACAAGCTAACAGAGATTCTTTAGGAAATTGCGCGGCCAGCACAGATTCTTTAGGAATTTCAAACCTTCGGTAGGCTAGCAGGGATCATTTGGGTCTGTGGGTAGCTAGCAGAGATCCTTGATGGATAGCCTAGATCAATAGGGATAAAGCCGCTACTAGGCAAGCAGCAGAGGTCCTTTGCAATCCAGTATTCTTTCAGGTCTTCTGCCCGGTTTGCCAGGCCTTCGTAAAGCAAGTGGAGACCGATATCGAGAACGGAGAACAAGCCGACGAGGATGTAAGTATCTATCTAGGGTTACGGTAACGGGGGCATCTTTTAGAAATTGAACGCCTGGTGCGAGAAGGAGTTCGGCACCGGGGTGATGGGAAAAGTGTGCAAGGGATTCGTCGATTCCGAATTGGAAAAGGTAGGAATTTGGTTCGTTCAATCCCAAAGAATAACCGCTAGCCTGCCCTGCTTCCCAGGCCCTTCCAAGGATATCTCTGCTATCATGCCCCAACTCTAAAGGACCATTAAAGTCTAAAAAGTCAAAATTTTCAGGTTGTTGACAAGCTGAAGAACGACCCGGGAGCCACGCCCGAATCTGTTTGCAAGGATATCGATTTGTGCTAAAATGTAAATAAAACTTTAAAATATGACTAAATCGCACAAAAACAATTTCCTAAAGAATCTCTGCTAGCCTGCCCTCTGCTAGTTCCCTCTTTTCATAATTTACCTTGGTTCCCCACTAATTTCACATTTTCCCCATTTCCGATCTTTCCGTTGCCCTTTTTTTAGGTCTTTGGTAGCAGAGATTCTTGCGGAAGTTCCGGTATCAGGTCGCAAATGTACGAAAGCGACGATAACTCGCCAAACTTGTGATTTTCTCGCAATTTTTTGGGTATATTTTGCTCGGGAAACGTGTTTTGACAAGAGTTCCGTTACATTCCGTTCGGAGCAGCGGCCATTTTGGGAACATTCGGAATGTGACAACAAAAGGGGGTAAAACTTTTACCCTAAAATGATCGAAATTAGGGCCATGCTAGCAGAGATTTTTTGAGGAAAATGAATCCGAAAAAGGTCAGTGTTTGTCAAAAAGCTCTTTGAGATTTCTTTGAATAGCGGGCTAGCAGAGATTCTTTAGGAATCGTTTGGACTCTTCTACTGCTTCAAGTGTGCCTTGGCAAGCTAGCAGAGACCATTTGTGGAAAAACTAGGCCCTTAATGACCGCGGTTTTACATCAGGCAAGCTAGCAGAGATTTTTTAGGAAGCCGTCCTTTCCTAAAGAACCTCTGCTAGCCTGCCCTGATTTTCAAAAGTCCCCCAAAATTTTATTTCCCAATTTTCGCTCATTTTTACGTGTTCCTGTTCTGATCAGGAAGCAGAAAATGTACAGGTCGGCCCCCAAGAAATTTTCCGGGCTAAAGAAAACAGAAAAAAGCGGCAGGGATAGCTCTTTAAGGCCAGTTCTGGGGTCAGTTCCGGGGGTATAAAGGGCTGAAAAACCGGGTGAATCGGCTCTTTTAGGGACAAATTCCGCATTGATCCTACTGACGGGACGAAATGTCGAAGTACTGTATCGTGGCTGTGCTGATTGTGGCCCTGGCATTGGCTGATAGCAGCAGCAGCAGTGAGGAGAAGGAGAAAAAGGTAGGTGGCAGAGATTCTTTAGGAAAGGGCAGGCTAGCAGAGATTCTTTAGGAAAGGGCAGGCTAGCAGAGATTCTTTAGGAAAGGGCAGGCTAGCAGAGATTCTTTAGGAAAGGGCAGGCTAGCAGAGATTCTTTAGGAAAGGGCAGGCTAGCAGAGATTCTTTAGGAAAGGGCAGGCTAGCAGAGATTCTTTAGGAAACTCAGTTTTCTAGGGCGTCGACTTGGAGCAGTTCGAGAAACTGGGCAAGGAGATGGAGAGCCAAAAGTCGCTGATCAAGCAAAAGTGCAACGAGGCGCCCGAGGCCAAGGCAAGCCAGCAGAGATTCTTTGGGAATTTTCCCCTTTTTCAGAAAAAGACATGCATCCTGCTCGTCGAAAGCTTTGAGCAGCTACTCGGAAAAGTGAAAGAGCTCCACGGCGTCTTCGCCGACTTCAACAAGTCGCTCGAGGAACTCGATTAAAAAAATGCTAATTAGTTTCGATAATTGATGATAAATAAATGTATTTTTTACATAATTTATTAAAATGCACATCGCTAGCTAGCAAAGATTTTTAGGAAAAGGTATGCTAACAAAAGGATTGATTTTTCAAATCATTCACCCATTTTCTACCCCAAAAAATGATAAATTGCCGCTGTCGGAGTTGATCTCGGCAGGATCAACATTTTTTGCCGATCTCCCGATCCTATATACAGGGTGTCCCAAAAAAAAAGACCCCCCCAAAAATTTGAGCCAGAGGGCACCTACGGAGCTGAAAATTTGCACTGAGGTAGCGAAGCCAATTTCCCATGTATATGGAAAGTTTGAGCCCTATCGGCCGGCGGGTTTTAAAGTTATAGCGAAAATACTTTTCATTTTTAATTTAATATGGGGATTTTTGCAATTTGCATCAAAAATATGCGTTATTCTTGCATTTACGAGCCGATTTTGCATAAATTTTGCCAAAAAATGCCATTTTCTTGCTGGAGCATGGCAGGCTAGCAGTGATGCTTTGCGGAACGAAACGGCCAATTTTAAGGCCGTCCCAAATGATCTTTGCTAGCTTGCCGGTCTTCTCAACTGTTCTTTTCAACGCATTTAACAGCCGTCAAAGTCAAAATTTTGCGGGCAAGCTAGCAGAGATCATTTGGGAATTATCCATTTTCCAACTGGTTCCCGGAAAAACAGAAAATGATCGATGAGGGTGAAATGGGGATATGAACGGGCTGGAACCGGCGAATTGCCTAGTTATATACGGCCACAGAAAGTGAAACGCTACACTCTACACCTATTGACACCTCCAAAGATGCTAAAGTATTGCCTCGCACTCGCTATACTATTTCTTGCTGTAATTTCCGCTGATGACGAGGAAAAGCCGAGCTCGTTGAGCCAAATGGTAGGCTAGATTTTAGCTTTTTTAAGCGGCAACTAGCAGCGACAATTTGTGGAAATTTAGGGCGGAAATCCCAAAGATTGGGATAAAATGATCGGCAAGATGGAGAGACAACGGATGGCTTATGCCGAACAGTGCAACGGAGCCCCGGATAGATTGGCAAGCCATTTGGGGTGCTTTGACATTATCGGGGGGAGGAGCTCCAACTTTTTTCTGAGGATCCAATTTTTCAGATAAAAATCGCTTTTCTAAAATGTTTTTAACTGTTCCTAGGCGTACAAAATTTAAAAATTAAAAACCACGACTTTTTCAAACATTTTTCAAGTTTCTAGACAGATTTTCAAGTTAAAATATACGTATATTTTACTAAAAACCCTCCCTTATTAAATTACTAGACAAAAGTTGGAATTCGATAAAAAGCCCAGTCCCCCCCCCCCCCGTTAATGCGAAAGAACCAAAAATTTTAATTAAAAAAACGCAAAAATATAGATTTTAATAACTTTTTCGGGACCAAAAATACCGACCTTCGGCAAAAATTTCAGATTATTACATTTTTTTCTACGTTTGTTTAGCTAGTTTTTCAACCTGAAATATGGTAAATTTTACGAAAAACTGTTAAAACATTTTGAACCATATCTGGGCTTTTAGGAAACCCCCCCCCCCCCGATAATGCCAAAGAACCATAAATTTAAAAGCGCCATTTTAGAAGAAGCAATGCTTCCTGCTGGTCAGCCTCCTCGGACAACTCATCCAAAAAGTGAAGCAATTCAAGGACGTGACCGAGCGATTTGAGAGCCTGAAACTACAGTAATCCAATAAACACCTTTTGACGATTTTTGTTTCTAATTTTGCGCATTAATAAGCACCTTATCGATCGAGCAGGCTAGCAGCGGCGATTTGGGAAAACAGCTAAAGTTTTTAGACCGCCTGGCAAGGAATCTTGCTAGCTTGCCTCCCGTTTTTACCATATCATTAGTGCGCAGAGGGTACTTTGCATTGCGTTACGCGACGTATTTCCACTTGTTGGGCAATAATAGGACATTTTGCGTTGGCCAAATTTTGCCAACGGAAAACCGGAAATGATTGATTGTTGAGAGATGGGATATCAACGGATTTCTCCCCTATAAAACCCGGAAAACCAAGCTTGACGACTACGCGCTACACCTATCGACCGGACCTAAATGCTAAAGTATTGCCTCGTACTCTCTATGCTACTTCTTACAGTAATTTCCGCTGATGATGAGGAAAAGCCGAGCGCGCTGAGTCAATTCGTACGTTAAATCTTAGTTCCTGAAGCGACAACTAGCAGAGACAATTTGCGGATCCGAAAGAATGAGATAAATCCTAAAATTGCTCTCAATTTCTTGGTGAGCTCTCGAAACGCAACGCGCCTCTTTCCGCTAAAAAAGCGTCGTAATAGGTTACGCAATGGAAGGGCAGGTGCGTTGCGTGTCGCGACCGAGGCCCTAGGGCAGGCTAGCAGAGACAATTTGCGGGTTGCAGGGCGGAACCCCGGAGGAATGGCAAGGGTTGATCGACGAGATGGAGGAGCTGAGGCGTGAAGGATCTGCACGGTGCAACGAGGCACCACAAAATAAGGTGTGTGCATTACAGGCTACAGACTACAAACTACAAATCGAAACGTAGCCTGTAGCCAATATTTTGTAGTTCACTCGTACAGACTTGGGTCTAGAAAAAAGTGATAGACGGCTGGTAGAACTAGAAAATTTGTAGTTTATAGCCTGTAGTCTAGCCTACACGCTACAAAAAATGTTGTAGTCTGTAGTCTAGAAAATACAGGCCACAGACTACAAAAGACAATTTTGTAGTCTGTAGCCTCTAGTCCGGAGTTTGCTCGCATTTCCTAGAGTCTAGAAAATGTGGTCGACGCTTAGCCGTAGTCCAAATTTGTAGTTTGTAGTCTGTAATCTAGCCTACAGACGACACACGGCAACTTTGTAGCCCGTAGTCTACGTTATGTAGCTTACTCGTAGTGCCTAGGGGCTAGAACTTGTGCTGGCCGCTTAGTAGTAGTAGAAAATTTGTAGTTCGTAGCCTCTAGTCTACACTATTTTGCCGTTAGAAAATTCAATTTGCTTTTTTTAGAAAAAGGCCTGCTTCCTGATACTCAACTACATCGGGCAGTTTATCGGCAAAACGCGGCAACTGCAGGAAGTGGTCGGGTGATTTGAGAGCTTGAAACTACAGTAGTCAGATCAGATAAATAAAATGTTCGATTTTCCCTTGTAAATACACGCATTAATAGAATTCGAACTACAAAATCTCTCCTCAGCCCGAGAAACCGGAAATGATTGATCGTTGAGAGATGAGATCCGGCCGGCAGCTGGTCAATTTTTTTGCGGATAACAACCCGGAAAAAGGAAATTTGGTGACTACGCTCGACACCTATCGACACTACGGAAAATGCTAAAGTATTGTCTCGTACTAGCTTTTTTATTTTTTATCGTAATCTCTGCCGAAGATCAAGAAAAGCCGAGCATGTTGCAGTCCATGGTAAGCTTAACGATGTATTTTTTGGCAAGGTAGGCTAGCAGAGATTCTTTAGGAAAGGGCAGGCTAGCAGAGATTCTTTAGGAAAGGGCAGGCTAGCAGAGACCATTAGGGAAAAAAATAACGCTGGTTTCACCTTCCCTTTAAACCCGAAGATTTAGACCGGAGATACCGAGAGCTGGGCAAAAATCATCGACGAAATGGAGGCGCAGAGAAAGGGAAGTCACCGAGCAGTGCAGTCAGGCTCCTGGCGAATTGGTGAGGGGCAGGCTAGCAGGGATCGTTTAGGAATTTCTTATTCAAATTCAGTAAAGAATTTCAGAAAACGAAGTGCTTTCTGATCGCGGGTATCATCGGAGGACTAGTGGAAAAGACGAGGAGAATCAAGGAAGCCGTGGAGCGAGTTGAGGCTCTGAAGCTACAGTAGTCGAATAAATGTATAGAAACGTTAAAAAACAAATTAATAAACGATAAATTTGTATTTATGCGCATGAATAGACTATTTCTTGGAAAAGGTTATGTCCCTCTCCCTGTCACACGCTCTCACTCTCACTCTCACTCTCTCACTCTCTCTCTCTCTCTCTCTCTCTCTCTATCTCCCGAAAAATGATCGATAGATCAGAGATGGGATGAGATTTTTCGCTCATAAAAACCCGGAAAAAATTTTTGCGACTACGCTCTACACCTATCGACAGGGCTAAAATGCTAAAGTATAGCCTCGTACTCGCTGTATTATTTATTATCGTAATCTCTGGAGATGATCAGGAAAAGTCGAGTTCGTTGAGTCAAATGGTAAGCTTATCCAGGTAAGTTTTTGGCAAGGCGAGCTAGCAGAAAGCTTTTAGGAAAAATCAAGAAAATGAAATAAAAATGAAAACTCAACTGAGGAAAGGGCAAGCTAGCAAAGACGATTGGGGAAGACATAAAACTAGTGTCACCTTCCCTTTAAAACCCCAGATTCAGACCGGAGATACCGAAAGCTGGGCAAAAATCATCGACCAGATGGAGACCCAGAGGAAGGAAGTCACCGAGCAGTGCAACGAGTCTTGTGGACAATTTGTAAGGAGTTGTAGTTTGTAGCTTGTAGCCTGAAATCTTAGCCGGGTAGGCTCGAAGAGATCCTTAGGGAATTTCCCATCGAATTTTACAAAATATTTCAGAAAACGAAATGCTTTCTCTTCGCCACCCTCGTCGGCGGGCTCGTGGAAAAGACGAGGAAAATCAAGGAGGTCGCCGAGCGAATCGAAGGATTAAAGCTACAGTAATTCAATAAAATGCCCTTAGGCCATCTCTTAAAGAATCTCTGCTAGCCTGCCCTTTCCTAAAGAATCTCTGCTAGCCTGCCCTTTCCTAAAGAATCTCTGCTAGCCTGCCCTTTCCTAAAGAATCTCTGCGAGCCTGCCCTTTCCTAAAGAATCTCTGCTAGCCTGCCCTTTCCTAAAGAATCTCTGCTAGCCTGCCCTTTCCTAAAGAATCTCTGCTAGCCTGCCCTTTCCCCAAGAATATCTGCTAGCCTGCCCTTTCCTAAAGAATCTCTGCTAGCCTGCCCTTTCCTAAAGAGTCTCTGCTAGCCTGCCCTTTCCTAAAGAATCTCTGCTAGCCTGCCCTTTCCTAAAGAATCTCTGCTAGCCTGCCCTTTCCTAAAGAATCTCTGCTAGACTGCCCTTTCCTAAAGAATATCTGCTAGCCTGCCCTTTCCTAAAGAATCTCTGCTAGCCTGCCCTTTCCTAAAGAATCTCTGCTAGCCTGCCCTTTCCCCAAGAATATCTGCTAGCCTGCCCTTTCCTAAAAAATCTCTGCTAGCCTCCCTTTCAAGCTAACTCCGGTGATTTTTTTATTGTTTTCCTAAACCTCGCCCCAATTACCGTATCCCCCAAATTGACCCTGAAATCCCGGAACCACCTGAAAAAATGGAGAAACCGCACAAAAATGCAGGGGGAACTGTTCGGCAAGGTCAGCACGTTTTGGGGGTATAAAAGGGGTGGGTGGTCGTGGTTTTTCCACCTCTTTCCTATCTACAGCCCCCATCAAGAACAAAACATGTACAAACAATTCGCGCTGTTCCTCGTCGCCGCGCTGCTGTTGGCCGCGAATAACTCGGTGAGTTGGAAATGGCAGAAAATTCGGAACTTTTGCATTATCGGGTGGGGGAACGTTCTTTTAAGGATCCAATTTTTCGAATCCAAATAGGGCCTGTGTTTCTAAACTGTTCTTGCCATTCCGAAACGTAAAAACTTTACAAATTTTGATTAAAAAATACAAAAATATCGATTTTCCGACCAAAAACGGCAACCCAAAGTTCCAATTGTTACATTTTTAACGTTTTTTAGATAGACTTTTCCATTTGAAATACAGTAAATATTACTAAAAACACCGTTAAAACATTAAAAAGAGCATTAAAAAGATTTATTAAAGCTTTTCTGATTTCCTCCCCCGATAATGCCAAAGAACCACGTATCCTTTTAAAGGCAGTGTGCCACCGGAATTTCACCAATTTTTTTGTAGACAGAGGCCGCGGAGAAAAAAAGCCCGTTCGACGCACTAATGGAGATGGTCAACGGGTTCAAGGCGCAAAAGCCCGAGCTGGAGAAGGGATGCGCTGAGGACAACAAGGTAGCTAGAAGGCTAGCAGAGATTCCTTAGGAAAGGGCCAGCTAGCAGAGATTCTTTGGGAAGGGCAAGCTAGCAGAGAATCTTTAGGGAACCGCTTCAACGCCCCTTTTTAGACGGAAGTCTGCCACAAACTCTTCAACAAAATCGACGACATGGTGAGAATCGCCACCGAGGTCAACGACATCTTCAACAAGATTCAGAACATCACCGCCAGCGAAAAGCCCTTCTAGGAATAAAATTATTTATTTGTCAAAACTACAAACTACACAGTTACAAAATTGTCGCCGATTAACGACGCTAATTTCCGGGGCAATCTGGCAGTGATTCTTGAGGAAAGCTACCTGGAACAAAGGCTGAGCCCCGAAATACATGTCGTAATCGACACGCTGGGCAGGCTAGCAGAGAGCATTGGTGAGGCAAGCTAGCATGGATTAGAGGAAGGATACGCTTTAAAGGGACCGTGTCACAAACGGCAACTTTCAAAGGATCGAAATGTAAAGGTCGCAGAAATAGATGCCGTAATGGTTATAGTAGGCAAGCTAGGAGAGATTCTTGAGGAATTCTATACATTTTAAAGGGGCGAGCCAGCACATGGTCGCTGAATTACATGTCGTAATGGTCATAATAGAAAGGTTAGCAGAGATTCTTGAGAAAATGGGCAGGCTAGCAGAGATTCTTTAGGAAGGGGCAGGCTAGCAGAAATTCTTTAGGAAACGGCAGGCTAGCAGCGATTCTTTAGAAAATGGGCAAGCCAGCAGAGATTCTTTAGGAAAGGGCAGGCTAGAAAATATTCTTTAAGAACACTCAATCTATTTTAAAGACACCATGCCATCAAGCTACAGTATAATTAGATGACGTAACCGGTGTAACACTTGCTCAACATGGTGAAAATCCCGGGGGTTATCTCTCATTTTTGATATCTCTCCCCTCCCCATTTGGTGGTAGATAAAAGAGATCGACCGGGATGGAACCGGCAAATTTCCACAAAGCTCCTATCGACACCGCGAAATCCTGATAATTCCATTAAAAATGACAAAACTAGCTATTGTATTTTTGCTGGTTGCTATCGCTTTTGCGGCCGAAACTACGGTAGGTTACGCACTTTTAAAGGGCTGTCTATTTTTCGCCACATATTTTGGTGCTTTGGCATTATCGGGGGCAACGTTTCCATTTTCTAATAAAATATAGAAACTTTTGTAAACGATTTTTACTAATCTTAAACATACTTTTACAACTAAAACTTTACAACTTATACAGAAAAAAAAACAAAAATAACGATTCTTCGGCTAAAAATGTCAATTTTTTACCAAAACTGAAAAATTTTCCAAGTTTTTAGATAATGTCCCCCCTTAAAGTATAGGTAATTTTTTCTAAAAAACTATTAAAATACTCACTATTAGGTTTCTAGGCTTTCTAGACGTTCGGAAAAAATTATCTCCCCCCCGATAATGCAAAAGTATCCAGATCCTATATGAAATTCGCCGCGAGCCGCTAAACGCGACGCGTCGCCTTTCCGGTTACTTTTAAGGGAGCGTAACAGGCGTAAAAAACAAGAAAAACAAAACTAAATTTCTAGACTGAAACTGCCGCCCCGGACGAGAACCCCTTCCACGAGTTCCTCGACGTCACCAAGGAGTACCAGGAGCACAAAGCGGAAGTGGAGAAGGAGTGCTTGGAGAAGAATACGGTAACGATTTTTAGCTTATTCGGTTCTTACAAAATCACGCGAAATAATAAATTTCCTGATTTCAGAAAGAAAACTGCAATAAGGCCTTCGCCATCGTCGACGAGATGATCAAGCTGGTCAACGAGACGACGGACATCTACCAAAAACTCATCAAGCTCACCAAGGAACTTCAGAATTGAGGGATTGGAGAACACGCAATAAATGAATAAATTTTTACATGAATAATACGAAAAACCAAAAAATAAAAATTACAACTAAAAATTCCGGGCTAAATTATGTCGTAAAACTCATAAAAGCGCATAGAAAAACCACTCAACCAAGTTAAAAGCGATTTTCGGACGGTTTTTTCAGAATTAAACCAGGTAAAACCACGAAATAGACCCCAAAACCCCAAAACTACAAAATACAAAGCGCCGAAAAAACACCCCAAAACGCCAAAACCAGCAAAAAAACTAACTTTAACAACAAATCGCTCCCGGCTCCGGTGTTGACCAGCTCGTTCACCGTCTCGATCGGGCATCTAAAAACAAAAATTAATGTTATGAAATTGTAAAAAAACGTCAATTTCTCTCTCTACCTATCTCTCTCTCTCTCTCGCTCTCTGGATTTGGAAAAGCTTCGACATATCGAAATTTGCATTAAAAAGTTATAGAACATCCAAATAAAAATATTACAACGTTTCTGACGACCAAATTGAGCTGAGCATTCCCAAAATAGAATCTAGTATTTTATGTTAGATTTAGAAAGTAGGTTTATTGAATTTTTAAGCCGCACGGGCTGCCAAATTGCTGCCAAATTGCTCTAGCTGGGCGCGCTCGCCGAATTTTTATGCTAAGCCGCTTATTTCATGCCGACCTTTCGGACGACGGTGCGTCACCTGGTGCTAAAAATTCCATCAAAAAGCTATACTAAACCTAGTCATTAAAAATAAATTAAAAACTATTGAAAATTCAATCCATTAAAAAATTGCTTACCGTTGCTGGGTCATCGAAGATGGCACCACGTTGATGCGCAGGCGTTCCACGCTGAAAATTGAAAATCAAACTCATAAAAACGTTTTTTTTTTGTTTTAAAGGCACTGGGAAGGCAATCTAGAACCTTGAAGTTTGTCTGAATCTTTTCCAAGTGGGCCAGCTAGCAGAGAGTATTTAGGAACAAGCATTTAGGTGAAGAACCCTCCCACTGAGATCTTAAAGAATCTCTGCTAGCCTGCCCTTTCCTAAAGAATCTCTGCTAGCCTGCCCTTTCCTAAAGAATCTCTGCTAGCCTGCCCTTTCCTAAAGAATCTCTGCTAGCCTGCCCTTTCCTAAAGAATCTCTGCTAGCCTGCCCTTTCCTAAAGAATCTCTGCTAGCCTGCCCTTTCCTAAAGAATCTCTGCTAGCCTGCCCTTTCCTAAAGAATCTCTGCTAGCCTGCCCTTTCCTAAAGAATCTCTGCTAGCCTGCCCTTTCCTAAAGAATCTCTGCTAGCCCGCCTGAATCACCAACAATCGCTCAAAACCACCTCTTTGACTTCCCAGTCTCTTTTAAGCCCAAAAATCCACCCAAGCAACCCAAAAATTCCAGAAAAATGTGCAAATTCAAGAATTCCAAATTTTACGCGGTCCCATTGACTTTCTCGGCCAGCTGCCCGTAAAAACGGTCAAAGCGTTGCCCGAATTTTTCGGTGCTAAAACACAAAAAAGACATTTAAAACGATTTAAACTGGCAAAAAATCGCTATTTAAAGCTATATAAATATTATTTCCAAAATGAATTTAAATAAAAATTAATATAAATCTATATAAGTAAACCAAAAATTCTATCTAATTAAAATTAAATTAACGGAATACAAACAAAATCAAAATTTACCCGCTTGCCAGCTCGTTTTGCACGCTGGCCAACGTGTCCCGCAGCGACCCGAGCATTTTCCTGTAAAAAACAAAAGCGCTAAATCACGATTACGGTAACAAAAAAAATAGGAAACCGTCGATCAATCGTTTTTATAACTTAAAAAAGTAGCAAAAATTGTTTATTACACAAAAAACAGCCAAATATGACCAGAATAATCTCAAAAATGACAAATGTATAAGTGACGCGGCGCGGACAACCCGTAAATAAGTGAAAATTGAAAGTGAGAGTTTTGAAAATGAGCGTAAAATGGTATAAAAAAGGCAAAAAGACAATAAAAAATTACAAATGTAGTGGAAAACAGAATAATATACATTTCTACAGTAATAAAAAAAATTGGTTCTGTTGCATTATCGGGGGGGGGGGGAAACAAGTTTTTCTTTTTCATTATTTTTCTAATAAAAATCGAGCAATTGTTTGTATGTTTTTTACTATTCCTAAACGGAAAACTTTACGAATTTTAATAAGAAAAGCAAAAAATAGCGATTTTTCGACAAAAATGGACGATTTTCGACCAAATTTTTACCTAAAAAATTCTTGCCAAGTTTTTTTAAACATTTCCACTGAAAATAAACTTAAATTTCACTAAAGAAACTATTAAAATACCTACTTTACGTTTTTAGCAGACATGGCAATTCGGATCGGCCGAGCCGCTCGGCCGGGCCGGCGGCCTAATTTCCATAAAAAACGCGGCCCCCTACGAGCCGCAGTAATTATTTACTTCCGGAAATGCGGCCTCGCGGCCCAGCCGCATTTTCATCGCGGCTCGGCCGGGCCGCTGCGGCCAAGCCGCAAACCGGAAGTGGCTCATTTACATACGAAAAATCCGCGAATTTCATGCGAAATGCCAATGGAAATGAGAAAATTAAGGGTTTCGAGTATAGATATTCGTCGTTAGCAGGCTAAATACGCATTGCATCTCTGATTTGCATACCGGAAGTACTCAAAACTCATTTGGATGCGGCCTTAAAAGCCGCGCGGCTAGGCCGCCGTGCGGCCTCAAAACGGAAAAAAGCCGCGGCCGCGCGGCCCGGCCGCATTCTAATTTTTGCGGCCGAAAAAGCCGCGCGGCCCGGCCGATTGCCATGTCTGGTTTTTAGGCATTTCTGGAGACTTAGAAAAAATTAGCCCCCCCCCGATAATGCGAAAGAACCCAGAAACGACAGCATCTAAAGGGCTAGGAAGGTCTAAAAATACCCTGAATACGTTGCAGTACTAATAACGGCCTAAAACAACAAAAAATGAGTAATTAATGCAAAAATACGACAGAAAAATTAATCCGGCACCGTCCACACGGTCAGCAATACATCTTA